GGTGGATCGCCCATCTTTTGCTTTATATAATATTGTATATATATATATTATATATATATATATTATATATATATAATATAATATATATATATATATATAATATATATATTTTTTTTTTTTTTTTATTATCACACTGGCCGATTCCCACCAAGGCAGGGTGGCCCGAAAAAGAAAAAACTTTCACCATCATTCACTCCATCACTGTCTTGCCAGAAGGGTGCTTTACACTACAGTTTTTAAACTGCAACATTAACACCCCTCCTTCAGAGTGCAGGCACTGTACTTCCCATCTCCAGGACTCAAGTCCGGCCTGCCGGTTTCCCTGAACCCTTTCATAAATGTTACTTTGCTCACACTCCAACAGCACGTCAAGTATTAAAAACCATTTGTCTCCATTCACTCCTATCAAACACGCTCATGCATGCCTGCTGGAAGTCCAAGCCCCTCGCACACAAAACCTCCTTTACCCCCTCTCTCCAACCTTTCCTAGGCCGACCCTACCCCGCCTTCCTTCCACTACAGACTGATACACTCTTGAAATCATTCTGTTTCGCTCCATTCTCTCTACATGTCCGAACCACCTCAACAACCTTTCCTCAGCCCTCTGGACAACAGTTTTGGTAATCCCGCACCTCCTCCTAACTTCCAAACTACGAATTCTCTGCATTATATTCACACCACACATTGCCCTCAGACATGACATCTCCACCGCCTCCAGCTTCTCCTCGCTGCAACATTCATCACCCATGCTTCACACCCATATAAGAGCGTTGGTAAAACTATACTCTCATACATTCCCTCTTTGCCTCCAAGGACAAAGTTCTTTGTCTCCACAGACTCCTAAGTGCACCACTCACTCTTTTCCCCCTCATCAATTCTATGATTCACCTCATCTTTCATAGACCCATCCGCTGACACGTCCATCCCAAATATCTGAATACATTCACCTCCTCCATACTCTCTCCCTCCAATCTGATATTCAATATATATATATACATATATATATATATATATATATATATATATATATATATATATATATATATATATATATAGTAGAGAAGAGATGAGAAGAGATGAGAAGAGGGAGAGAGAGAGGGAGAGAGAGAGAGAGGAGAGAGAGAGAAAGAGAGAGAGAGTAGAGATAGATAGATAGATAGATAGATAGATAGATAGATAGATAGATAATATATTCAATGGGAGGCAATCAAGTTCGATCCTATGAAGGAAAGAACTGATCCGATTTCTTGGACCAAAAAGTCCTCACAGGCATCAAGAATTCTCTCTGAAGAGGTATAAAATAATAAATAGTTAAGGGGGTGGAAGAAATAATAAATGGGTGTCCGCAATATTTATTTAACTTATAGGGACATATAACACAATAGATTTTGAACATTATATTTATACTGCAAGGAATAATAATAATAATAATAATAATAATAATAATAATAATAATAATAAATAATAATAATAATAATAATAATAATATAATAATAATGATAATATTATTATTATTATTATTATTATTATTATTATTATTATTATTTATTATTATTATTATTATTATTATTATTATTATTATTATTATTATTAACAATAATAGTAAAAATAATAATAACATTAATATTAATAATAATAGCAAAGATGTACAGTTTAGTAATATTTTGTATTGTCATCTAAGCGACCAGTTTTACATGTGGTGGAGCAGGTGTTTACAACCTTGGCTTGCAACGTAGCAAGAGAGAACGTACTGCATTCAAGAAGTTACATTGCTTGCCACAGGAAGAATAATGGCAAGTGAGAAGGTAAACCAAGCTGTCTTGCCTCTGCCTAATCCGAGGATGGATGACTTGAAGGGCACAGTCAGCGACTTTGGCAACGAACTGACTGTTATGGTGAGTGATTTGGGTAATTTTGGAGATCCGGTCCTTATGAGTTTGGCCATTGTTTTATGTTGTGCAGGTATAAGAAACTTAAAACTAACCTACATAAACCCAACCTTAAAATAACCTTACTCCGCCAGCGTTATCCCCTCAAGGAAGGTTCCTTGACGTTGGTGAGGGGCTCTTGATTTAGGGAATTGGATCTGTGCTCCAGTTCCCCGAATTAAGCCTGAATGCCTTCCACATCCCCCTCCCAGGCGCTGTATAATCCTCCGGGTTTAGCGCTTCCCCCTTGATTATAATAACCTTACTCCGCCAGCGTTAGGTATGGGACTTGCGCATCTTCGTTTACGTTCGTTGTGAGTGTCCAGGAGCAACACTACTAACCATTGATTGGCCTTAAATTTAGTGCTGCAGGTTTCAACCCCTCAGGGAAGGTTCCTTGATGTTGGTGAGGGGCTCTTGATTTAGGGAATTGGATCTGTGCTCCAGTTCCCCGAATTAAGCCAGAATGCCTTCCACATCCCCCCCCAAGGCGCTGTATAATCATACGAGTTTAGCGCTTCCCCTTGATTATAATTATATAATAATAATGCAGGTTTCAAAATAAATTTACTGTTATTGCTAATATCTCCCAAAGTAATTTGCACAAGAAATCAAAATGTGGTATCATGCTTGTATTTTGAAAAAAAAAGAGAAAAAAAGAATAATGCTTGATTTCTCGAAAGGCATCAGATTTCCATATCAGCCGTGATATGTTACTGAACCATAAATTTACTCTTCAAGGGAGATGCCACGTAGGGCATTTGAGCCACTCCTCATCTCGCGGATCAGACCTGGTTACCTCCCACTCCAGTTTCCTTAGGGGTTTAGCGCTTCTGCACGAAAATACAGTAAGATTCCTCAAGCCGGTGTGTAGGTGCTAGGCGACGGTACCTTGTTCCAAATAGTCGGAGTTATCCTCACGGATCAAACCTGATTACTTCCTATACCCCAGGCTCTGTATGTCCCTTGCGGATTTAACTCTCTCCTATGAATGTGATTTCTTAGTCAGGGAGTCAGAGGTATACACAGATGTATTTCAGTGTACGTACACAGGCGTTTTCCATGGGAAGTATGTATGTACTGCATATGAATATACGTTTATTTAGTGGATATAGATGTATCGTATATACATATGCGATGTACCATACATATATTAGGTATGTATCGTGAATTCACAGGTATTTATCATATATGTGTATCCTATATACAGAGGTATGTATCGTATGTACACAAAAATGTATATACACAGGTATATACATGATACATGCCTTGATGCTTGTAAAGGGCATCCTAGTTAAATCTTTTAATTGTATGCAACCTAGTGTTGCCCAGGGGTAAATATGTTCTTTCAAGTCATTGAAACGTACATAGTCATCTCTAGCAGGGGCGTCGTAAGGGGGGAAGGGGGGCCGCCCCGGGTGACGCCATTTAGGGGGTGACACCATAGAGCCTCTAAAGAAGGTAACACTAATGACCAAAACCATGCTGCAGCAACCTAAGAGAAAAATTATTCGTTTCTATATAGCCTATTATAGGATTACAGAGTACAAATAGGCCTGTATAGGGAAAATCATTGATTTTGATGATGTGATAGATGATTTTGCAGGATTGAAGGCAAGGAAATGAAATATCAGATTCTTTGAGATGTTACATGTACTCAAGGTCAAATCGGAACTCGTTTTTCTTTTTTCTTTATTTTTCAAGTTTTTTTTTCATTGTTGAAGATGAATAAATGTAGAATCTGTTGCCTATACTCAAAGTGGTATTTGAGTTTCCTCAATATTACTACGATTATTTATTTTATCATTAATAAAGTTCGGTTTATGGCCTTTAAACGTTCTCATTGATCTGAGCACTGTTCCTCAAGTTTTTTCTTGGGTTATCCTGAGTAGTTCTGGACCAGAGCTGAGAGGAAACTTGCTTGCAGTCACTTCGAGCACCATCCTTTCAAGAGGATAAGGCGGTGACTTGCTTGCTTGTTCACCCCTCTCTTCCCCATCCCCTCATCCTTCCCCTTCCTCCCCTCACCCAAACATCTATACTGGCCCACACACTAACACTCTGCTTACATTGTTGTCCTTCTGACTTTCCTATCTTCTTTTTCGGCAACTTCGCCTTTGGCGAGTTAACACAAGGCATTTTGACTTTCCGGTAACCCGTGTGGTTTTTTAAAATCCGGCCGATCTTTGCCTTGGGCCCTTTCCCCCTCACTCCTCGAGGGTAGGCTATCTTGGGGGCTGACCTTCATAAGTCAGCTGACTTAGGATGTTTAGGGCTACCACCAAGGAAAGCCTTTTATGTTAAAGTAACTTCTGTGTCAGATGTACCTTCCTGGACATCATGGCACGAATACGTGTCGATGACAGTCAAAAGTCTAAGAAGGAAATTCTCGAATGTATTTGTTCAAATTCAACTATTGCTCCAGTGGATGTTTTTCAAACCTACGCTGGGGCAGTACTTCTCTCTTCTGAAGAAGAGTTACTCCAACTGCTTAAGCAGGACGTTCTTGGTAAATTGAAGACTTTTGGTATCCGCTGGGCGACTTGAAAGGAAAACAACTATTTAATATCATGACAGCCCGGTGGCCTGGTGGCTAAAGCTCCCGCTTCACACACGGAGGGCCCGGGTTCGATTCCCGGCGGGTGGAAACATTTCGACACGTTTCCTTTCACCTGTTGTCCTGTTCACCTAGCAGCAAATAGGTACCTGGGTGTTAGTTGACTGGTGTGGGTCGCATCCTGGGGGACAAGATTAAGGACCCCAGTGGAAATAAGTTAGACAGTCCTCGATGATGCACTGACTTTCTTGGGTTATCCTGGGTGGCTAACCCTCCGGGGTTAAAAATCCGAACGAAATCTTATCTTATCTTAAGGCCCATTCTTTAAATCATATGTCGGTCCTCATCCGGGGACACCAGATATAGTCCTTACCAACAGAGACTGACCTCTTCCATTGTCGAGTCTCTCCTGGTGGGAACGTAGGATCTGACCATATCCCTGTTATAATACAACTACAAACTCCTCCATTTAGAATACCTGTACCTCCTAAACCCAATCTCAACACCCTAGGATTTGACCCCTTCAGGGCATTTCTTGGTGACGATGAAATTGTGTCGTTGGAAAATTTACCTTCCAGTGCAATTGACGACGCGATCAGCTCCCTTCACAACCGAATACTTGATGCTACTAATGCAGCTTGCCAGTTAGCTTCCACAAAGATCTACCAACAATATAAACCTACTAGGGAAATTAGAGACTGAAAAATTATCAAACAGAATGTCGAAGGAATCTTCAAACGCAACAACCACCACAGGCTACACTGTATAGATTGAGGCAGGACTTAATTACTATGATTAGTCATCACAAAAAAGACTTAAGAAAATTTCTAGTTCTCCAAGCTAATCAGTATAAACGTCAGCCTGCAAAATTTTAGAGCAAGATTCGGCAACTTTTAGGGGCAAAGCACAAGGCTCCCAGTTATCTAATTCATACCTTCACTGATGATGATGAGGAGGTTGAGATAAAACTTGATGATCCACAGAACCAGGCTAATTTGATGGGTGATGTGTGAGAGAAAATTCTCTCCCACAATAACAGTCGTCGATTTAATAATAACCACTATCAGTTGGGCAATGTCTGGAGAGATGAGAACTTAGCTGATCTCCAATCACTACCTTCCATCGATACATCAACTCTTGAAGATCCCACCCTCTTACTAGACCTATTACACTACTTGAGATGAGTCAGGTTATTGGAAGACTGCGAAATAGAGCCCCTGGTCTCTGGAATAACAGTGAAACAAATAAAGTTTCTACCCAGAAATTGTAAACAGTCTTTGGTCAATATCTTTAATGCCATCTTGGCCTCCGGACATTTTCCAGTGGTTTTTAAGACTGCGAGGATGATCTTTCTTGCTAAACCCCATAAGACATCCACCAACCTGGGAACTATGGACCTATATCCTTACTTGAGGTCACTTGCAAAGTTCTTGAGAAGATCATTTCCAAAAGATTGAACTATTATATGGAGTTTAACCACCTCTTTACTGAAAAGCAGTTCGGTTTTAGGACTCATAGAGGTACCCATCATGCATATTATTTTCGATGCTGTAGCGAGCCTGAAACATCAGGGCAATCTTGCCCTAATTCCCACCAGAGATGTTCATAAAGCTTTTGATAGCTTATGGCATGATGTTCTTATATATAAACTTATTGACCTACCTGACCATAACGACCTTTCTCAGATTTATATATAACTTAACTCAAAGAAAAATCATTCCTACCTTTCACGGCAGGTCGACAGAGCCTTTTATACCGACAGTTGGTGTCCCACAAGGTTCATGTCTTAGTCCAATTCTATTCAATATTTATGTGAATGATCTTCCTCAACCGGAGTTCAACGATACAATTATAACGCAATTTGCAGCATTGTTCCATACCATGGAACAATGCTCTTCTCCAGACTGAGGGACTGACCACCTCAAAACTTTAAGGGTGATGGACTGATTACATCGTCTTCAAGCATCTTCTGCTTCTATCAACTTTTCTGTACTCGTTGTTAGGTAAGACACATATCAAGTTAGGGTAACTTTAATTATGAAAACGTTTGCCATAGTGTCTTCTATATCTGATACTGGGGAACTTGATGAGAAGTGTTATACCAATACTTTTTGACTAAAAAGCACCAATAGTGGGGTTATTTTTATCGTTCCTCGTCACGTATTGTGCCTTTTTTCATATTTTATACTGTTTCATCTTTGTCTTACCTAACAAACCTGTCGTAGTTAATTGATAGCCATTGTTAATGTTTTTCTACTCGCTGAAGAAGCCTACTGTGTAGGCGAAACGTTTCGAAATAAAGATACCTAACTGTTGCATATGTGTCTTACCTAACATATCTGTTATATCTGTGTGACTCTGATGAGTAAGTGTTATACTCCCTCCAATACTTTTCTGTTATTACACATACACTTTTTAAATTGCACCAAAGTGGTTGGGCCACTTCCCTTTTACATCCTACCTCGCTCCCCCTCCCAGCCTTTTTCCATATTTCTATCCTTATCCATCCTTCTTCCTTACCCACCTTACCAAAGCTCTGGTCGTAAGTTGAAGTTGAAGCCACTGGGCATGCAGCAGTGATGTAACTGAGAGTTTACTACCCCTACCCCACCACCCTTGGATTTCATGGGGGTGACACCAAAGATTCCGCCCCGGGTGATACCAACCCTAGCGACGCCTCTGATCTCTAGCCAGCAAACATGGGAAATTTCCAGATTAAATGTTGGTTGTCTGATAGTCATGTAATATTCCTGATGATAATGAAGACTATGGATGTCGTACAGGATTTGATAAGTACATCTCGTTCTGATCGAAATGACATTCAAATAAACTTTTCTTAGTATTCCCATCCACGACTGAGAGGGGTTATTTAACTAGCTTCTTTTTTACTGAACATAAATAGTTCAGTAAGAATAATAATGTCCTATTACTCAGAGAACTTGTGCATTGTACTGGAGGGCCCCCGTTTGTACGACTCCGAGGTTTCGCGACCCCAAACGGTAAGCTAAAATCGCCGGCGGGTGGAAAAGAGCGATTTTTTCATTATTGAATGCGTCTAAAGGACCTGATAATGTGTTGACACTATTATATATTAAGTGCTCAATACAGCTAGGCATAAAAAGTGAAATAAATACACAGTACATCCAATATTACTTAAATAATACGGCGCCGATCGTCCTTCCCTTCCTCATCTGTTGTACGAAAATGGCGGAAAAGCGGTAAAAGCACCGAACATAGTGAACAATTTTTGCTCATTTGAAAGGCAGCGAAAACGTGGAATATCGAAAAGAGGGAGCTATATGCGCGGGGCCTCCTGTACATGTTATAAAGTGGAGTGAGACTTCTAATGGTTAATCACTTTATATTAAAGCAAATCACATGTTTTCATGAGACTGACTGGGTTGGCAGCAGTCAAATTTTCCAATGAACATTAAAATAAACGTGTTCTATTTAATAATAAAAATTCCAACATCTTAAAAATAGTTTTACAAAATCGCTCTGAAGTGTGTATGCTAGTGGTGCTGCTATAATAATAACAGTAATTATATTACTTTTTTACAATCATTGGCGCAGCCATGGGAGGCGGGGCCAATGGGGCTAAGGCCCCATTAATAACAAAATTCCATCGTATTACATTGACTAGTAACCACGATAGTTTAAGAAATTTCACATACTGAAAATTATATGTTTTTCACCATACGATTATTTAAGCCCCTCCTTGATTGAAATCGTAGCTTAATTAAGCCTCCCTTACTTTATTGAAATGTTGGCTGCGTCACTATTATTACTGCATCTTTTTAATTTTAATACCCATAAAATCATCTTAACTGTGCTCTTCCACCCTTCCTACTCTATGATCCAGCAACACCCCCTGCCCTGCAGCGCAGTACGACCCTTGTGGGTTTGGCGCTACTTTTTTATTATAATAATTGTGTTATTAAAATAAAGTATCATTGCCATTATCATAACACGTTTGTAAACCAGAATAAACAAATGGAAAAGAAGCGAGTCCAGAAAGAAATGTTGCAGAAGACAGTAGAAGCTAAGCGTGAACATATTGAAGCCCTCCGTGCTGAGATCCGCGCGTTCATTGGTGAGTACGTTTACTATATTTATTTTTAAAGTTTAGCTGCCCCCAAGACTAGGCCTCCACTGTAGTTAGCCTCATTATCCCTAAAACCAGGCACCCTTCCATTAGATACGCATCCTGTTGTCTTTTGCAAAATTATTGTAAATTTACTTTCTACTGTGATTATCGAGAATTGGTTACATAACATTGAGAGGCTGCGCTATCTGTATAACATTTTCTAGTGTTTGCAACTAGAGCCATTTACCTAATATCCATCACTGAAGATAGTTTTCTAACATTCCATCACGGGTTGTGTAAGGAAGTAATAAATGTCAGTCAGCCTGAAGTGTAAGACATGGATAAGGACACTTAAGTACAGTTCAGGACATTACTAAATGTCCTAAAATCTACATAACGTCCTTTTCCACAACTTGTCGGTATCAACATGGGTTTAGAGCAGGCCACTTCTGCCTGTCCCCAACTACTGGACCACTATGGCAAGGTCTTGGATGCTCTAGAGGACAAACAAAATGCAGATGTAGTATACACTGACTTTGCGAAAGCTTTAGACAAGTGCGACTATGGTGTAAAAGAGCACAAAATGACTGATAAAGGAATAATAGGAAAAATTGGTAGGTGGATCTACAACTTCCTAACAGAACACAAAGAATAATGGTAAACAGAGTAAGTCTGAGGTGGCTACAGTGAAAAACTCTGTTCCACAAGGCACAGTACTAGCCCCCATCCTGTTCCTCATCCTCACATATAACATAGACAAAGATGTAAGCCACAGTACCGTGTCTTCTTTTGCGGATGACACCCGAATTTGCATGACCGTCCATCTAAGACACTGCAAGACTTCAAACGGACATCAACCAAATCTTTAATTGGGCCGCAGAAAACAGTATGAAGTTCAATGAAGAGAAATTTCAATTACTCTGATGTGGAAAACTTGAGGAATTTAAAACTGTATCAGAGTATAAAACAAATTCCAACCATACAATAGAGCGAAAAAATAATGTGAAGGACCTGGGAGTGATAATGTCAGAGAATCTCACTTTCAAAGCTCACAACACTGTATATACCACATCTGCTAAGAAAATGATAAGAACATAAGAAAGGAGGAACACTGCAGCAGGCCTGTTGGCCCATACTAGGCAGGTCCTTTACAATTCATCCCTCTAACGAAACATTTGTCCAACCCAATTTTCAATGCTAAACAGGAAAGATGCGTCTGGTGTGAAAGTCTCACTCAAATCCAACCTCCCACTCATGTACTATCCAACCTAAATTTGAAATACCCAAAAGTCCTAGCCTCAAACCCAAAATAGGTATAGGTCTGTTCTCACTCAACTACATATTTCCAATCCAATACTTTCACTATGTCTTATTCTAAATCTAAACTTAATCTAATTTTAAATCCATTATTGCGGGTCTCTCCTGGAGAGATATCCTAAGACTTATTATCCCCTTTTATTAATACCTTTCTTTCCACTTATACACTTCGATTCAGGTCTCCCCTCATTCTTCGTTCTAACAAGTGATGTAACTAGGAGTCTTAAATCCTTTCTTCATAAGGAAGATTTCTAATGCTATATATTAATTAGTCATCCTTACGGTCCCCCACCCCAACTGAAGTTTTCTTAACGAATTTATGTCCATTCTGTAAATATTATTACGGAGACCAGAATTGAGAATGGCATAATCTAGGTGAGGCCTTTCTAATGATGTTTAATAGCTGCGCAGTATGAGACCTCTGGACTCTGTTGCGTCACATTTTTGTTATAAACTCCAAGTAATCTTTGCATTATTACGTACGCTTAGGCATTGCTGTTTGGTTTAGGTTGCTGCTCACCATAACCCCCAAGTCCTTTTCGCAATCTGTATGGCTAAGTTCTGCATCATTTAACTTATAAGTGCTAGGGTTATGGGCACTCCGAGCTCAGACCTTGCATTTATCTGTATTGAACTGCATTGCATTTTTCTGACCAAGAGTAGAGTTTGTCTAAATCCTCCTGAGTTCAATAACAAGCTCAGTTTGAATCAATTATCTAACTTTCTTTGTGTCATCGGCGAATTTGCTCATATCACTAGTAAATTCATTCATCAAGATCATTGAATATATTATAATCACAACACGGGCCCAAAACTGTCCTGTGGGGCGAAAACGCCCCAATTGTTATGATCCCCTCACTCGGATTTAACCATTTTATGGCACACTCTCTGCTTCCTTTATGTCGAGCATGTTCGATCTCGAGAGCCCCTTCCCCCATGCCATGAGCTGCTACTTTCTTTACACGTCTTTGGTGCGGATCTCTATCAAATGCCTTACTAAATCTAAGTAAAATAATATCAATTCTTTTATGTGGTCTAACAGCCTCAAAAGCTTTACTGAGGAAAGTTATTAAATTAGTTAGACAAGACCGGCCTCTTGTGAATCCACTTGCTGAGTATCATTAATACAAGCTACGCTTATCGAGTATGGCTTTTATAATCTCAGCTAAAATTGACTTCTTAGTATTTGCCTACAATTGAGGTCAGGTTATTGGGCCGGTAATTTGACGGTAACGATTGTCCCTGTTTTTAAAAATAGGAATTACATTAGCCATCTTCCACATATCAGACACTACACCTGTTTGAAGAGTTAAATTAAAAAAATATTGTTAATGGTTCATAGAGTTCCATTTTGCATTCCTTAAGATCCTTGAAAAAACCTCATCAGGACCCGGTGATTAGTTTTCGACTTCAGGTCTGTCTATCTGCTTAACACCCATTTCACTAGTGACTGTGATGTTACATAATTTATCTTATTCTGGCCCACTATTAAAAATTAATTACTGGAATATTATTAGAGTCTTCCTGTGTAAAATCCGGATGAGGAAAATAATTATTAAAATCGAGCACATTTCATTCTCTTTGTCAGTAAGTTGTCCATAGTTATTTTTAGGGGACCATCTTTTCTCTGAACTTCTTGTCCTTATATTCTGGAAAAAACTTTTTGGCGTTAGTTTGTAGGAACCCTAGCAACTTTAATTTCATAGCCCTTTTAGCTTTCTTATCCCTTTTTAATGTCCCTCTAATGTCATATACTGATTCATAAGATGACCCTCACCTCTTTTGATACGACCTATATAAATTCCTTTCTTCTGCCCTAGTAGATATTTCAGCTATTATCTCATCCATTTGGGTCATTTTCTATTTGATCTAATTTCTTTATACGGAATAAAACGTTCTTTGAAGCAGCATGGGTATGGTGTTCAGAGAAAACCTGTCTTATTGATAGCTCTACTTCGTTAAACCCAGGTCAAAGATGATAAGTGTTCTTAAGCCCATCGTAAATCTGATGTACGAATGGTATATAATACCGACAAGCTGAGAGTAAAGACACATGTGCAAACATCTGGGTATCTTTATTGTAGACGTTTCGCCTTCCAGTGGCTTTATCAATACAATTCTAGGACATATACTTGACAGTAGAACTGGTACAGAAGATGAGGGTAATCAGTCCTCAACCTAGGAAGCAGGGTGCGACAGCACCCATAGTAGTGGAGATTCTGAAGCAGAAGAAGAATCAAGCGGCTTATATAGTAACGTTTAAGGTGAAGCAGACGTGGGCAATTTCCACTGGTAGGCGGATTCCCAGTCGGAAGTAGGTCCTTCCCATAAGAGATGGGTTTAGTTGTAGTAGTAGTTGTCGCCCCCCCCATAGTTCGTGAAGGTTTGTACATGTCCTCAGAATTAAGATTCCATGATTGTTGCAGTGTCTGACAGTTGAGTACGACTGGTACATAATACCGACAAGATGAGAGTAGACACATGTGCAAACATCTGCGGTATCTTTATTGGAGACGTTTCGCATCCTCAGTGGCTTTATCATTACAAATTATAGGACATAACTTGACAGTAGAACTATGTACAGAAGTTGTGGTAATAGTCCCCATCAACCTAGGGAGCTGGTTTGCGAACTGAACCATAGTCGTGGAGTAATTCTGATCTGCAGAAGAAAGAAAGAATCCTGCGCTTATATAGTTAGTAACGTAAGGTGAAGCAGACGAGGGCCAAATTCACTGGTTGGCGGGAATTCCCAGTGGAAGTAGGTCCTTCCCAAGAAGATGGGTAGTTGTAGTAGTAGTTGCTCGTAGTCTTGATGGTTATGTACCTTGTCTCAGAATTAAGATTTCCATGATGTTCGCGTGTCTGACAATGGTGGTACGAATGGTCATATAATACCGACAAGATGAGAGTAGACACATGTGCAACCATCTGGGTACCTTTAGTGTAGACGGTTCGCCTTCCCAGTGGCTTTATCATACTAAATTCTAGGACCATAATTGACAGTAGAACTATGTACAGATGATGGGGACCTGTATCATAAACCTTCAAGACTACGACAACCTAACTACAACTAAGCCCATTCTTTGGGGAAGGACATACTTCCACTTGGGAATCCCGACCTACCAGTGAATTTGCCCTCGTCTGCTTCACTGACGTTTACTTATTATTGCGCCCAGGATTCTTTCTTCTGCTTCAGAATCTCACGGACTATGGTGTGTTCGACCACCGGCTCCTAGGTTGAGGGACTGATTACCTCATCTTCTGTACATAGTTCTACTGTCAAGTTATGTCCTAGAATTTGTATGGATTAAAGCCATGGAGGCGAAACGTCTACAATAAAGCATACAACTGATGTTGCACTGTGTCTTACTCTCCATTCTTGTCGGTATTATCATACATTCGTACCCAAATTGTCAGGACACTGCTATAACATATGGATCTTAATTCTGGCAGGACATGTCATAAACCAATTCAAACGACTACAACACCTACTACTACAAACTAACCCCATCTCTTTGGGAAGGACCTACTTCACTGGGGAATCCCTCCTACCAGTGGAATTTGCCCTCGTATGCTTCACCTGACGTGACTATATAAGCGCAGATTCTTTCTTCTGCTTCAGAATCGCCACGACTTCTGGTGACTGTTCGCACCTGCTCCTAGGTTGAGGGACTGTTACCTCATCTTTCGTAAATAGTTTCTACTGTCAGTTATGTCCTAGAATTTGTAGTGAATTAAAGCCACTGGATGGCAAACGTCTACAATAAGATTCCCAGATGTTGCACATGTGTCTTACTCTCATCTTGTCGGTATAATTATACCATTAGTACACATTGTCAGACACGCTACTCATGGAATCTTAATTCTGAGGACATGTACATAACCTTCACGACTACGACAACTACACTAAACTAACACTTCTTCTTTGGGACAGGACTCTACTTCCAACTGGAGAATCCCGCCTAACAGTGAATTTGGCAATCGATTCTGCTTCACCTGACGTTTACTATATAAGGCGCACCAGGATTCTTTTTCTGCTCAGGATTCCACGACTATGGTGACTGTTGCACCTGACTCTAGTTGAGGGGACTAGTTACCTATCTTTGTACATAGCTTCTACTGTCAAGTTATGTCCTAGAATTGTATTGATAAGCCCAGCTGGCATGGCGAAACGTCATACAATAAAGATCACCCAGATGTTGCACATGTGTCTTACTCTCATCTCCCTGCTGTCGGTATTAAATACCATCGATACACAAAAACTCTGTCAGACACTGCTACAATCATGGATTCTTAATATTGAGGACAATGTACAATAACCTTCACGACTACGACAACTACTACACAACTAAACAATCTCTAATTGGGAAGGACCTATTCACTGGGGAATCCGTCCTACCATTGAATTTATGCCTCGTCTGCTTCACCTGACGTTACTTTATTAAGCGCCAAGGATTCTTTCTTCTGCTTCAGATCTCCACGGACTATGAGTGCTGTCTGCTCCTGCTCCTAGGTGGGAAAAGGGACTGATTACCCATCTTCTGTACATAGTTCTACTGTCAAGTTAGTCCTAGAATTTGTATTGTTAAAAGCCACTGGATGGCCCGCGAAACGTCTACAATAAAGATACCCAGAGTTGAACATGTGTCTTACTCCCCATCGTAATCTGCTAAGCGAAATTCTGGGACTGTTACTGAGTTATCCCTACTATCATATTCCATTCAATGCTAAATGTAATTGATTTGTGTCGCTAGCACCCAGTTCCTCTGAAACTTCTAAAATTATTAACAAGGGAATCATTGTTAGGTAAGACACTATATGCAACAGTTAGACAACTTTATTCAGGAAACGGTTTCGCCTACAAGTAGGCTTCTTCAGTCGAATACAGAAAGTAGGCGGAAACAGTAGGATGTGAAGACGATGTAATCAGTCCATCACCTTGCATGAAGTCGTAGAATTTGAGGTTGTTCAGTCCCTCGGCTGGAGAAGTTCAGTTCCATAGTCAGGAACTATCTGAAGATCAGCGACCAGTGCGGCGACTTAAAAACTGTCGGAAGGCGAGCGTTGCAGAGTAGTAGTAGTACTAGTGAGACTGCTAGCCAATGAGAGGTCATGTCCACTCTCAGATTCAACACTTCTCCACTTGAAAAAAGCTTATCACAAGGTGTTTTCTGTAACAAGATGCATGTGTTGCAGTGGTCTGACACTAGTGAACATCAAAATGGTATACATACCGACAGGGTTCGTTAGGTAAGGACACATATGCAACAGTTAGACAACTTTATCCGAAACGTTTCGCCTAACAGTAGGCTTCTTCAGTCGAAACAGAAAGTGGCAGGCACTGTAGATGATGTGGAAGACGATGTGTCAGTTCCATCACCTTGAAGTCGAAAAATAAAAATGGGATAAAATACCGACAGGTTGTTAGGTAAGACACATATGCAACAGTTAGGTATCTTTACTTCGAATACGTTTCGCCTATACACAGTAGGCTTCCTTCAGTCGAGTACAGAAAAGTTGATAGAAGCAAGAAGATACTGATGACGATGTAATCAGATCCATCACCCTTAAAGTTTTGAGGTGGTCAGTCCCAGTCTGGAGGAGAGCATTGTTTCCATAGTATGAAAACATATGGGATGAAGTGGCAGGATGGAGACTTATATAGCGCCAAGAGGTGAGAGTAGGTCACTAGAAAGAGGTAAGAACTCAGATGTTGGGTGGTCAGGTCCCTCTCAAATCCATCCATTCTCATGTGGAGGTTGTGTAAGTTGATTGCAGGTACTGTACCAAGATACCTAGTGTTGCAGTCGTCTGAACAGATTGAACAATAAACATGGTATAAATACCGCAGGTTGTTAGGTAAGACAACTATGCAACAGGTTAGGTATCTTTATTCGAAACGTTTTCGCCTACACAGTAGGCTTCTTCAGTCGCGTACAGAAAAGTTGATAGAAAGCAGAAAGATACTTGAAGACGATGTAATCAGTCCATCACCACTTAAAGTTTTGATAAATTGATTGAAGCCACTGTTGGCGAAAGTTTCATCAATTAAAGATACCACTTTAAAGTTTTGAGGTGGTCAGTCCCTCAGTCTGGAGAAGAAAGCTTGTTCACATAGTATGAAAACAATATGGAGATGAAGTGGCAGGATGGAGCCTTATATAGCGCCAAGAGGTGAGAGTAGGTCACTAGAAAGACGGTAAGAACTCGATGTTGGGCGGTCAGGTCCTCTCAAATCAATCCGTTTAACTAGTGGAGGTTGTCGAAGTTGATTGCAGCGCTCTGTACCAAGATACCCTTGTGTTGCAGTGTCTGACAGATTGAACAATAAAATGGTATTAAATACCGACAGGTAGTAGGTAAGACACATATGCAACAGTTAGGTATCTTTATTCTCGAAACGTTTCGCCTACACAGTAGGCTTCTTCAGTCGAGTACATGAAAGTTGATAGAGCAGAAGATCTTGAAGACGAGTAATCAGTCCATCACCTTAAAGTTTTGAGGTGGGTCAGTCCCCTCAGTCTGGGGAGAGCATTGTTCCATAGTATGAAACATATGGAGCTGAAGTGGCAGGATGGAGCCTTATATAGCGCCAAGAGGTGAGAGTAGGTCACTAGAAGAGGTAAGAACTCAGATGTTGGGCGGTCAGGTCCCTCTCAAATCCATCCATTCTCACTAGTGGAGGTTGTCGAAGTTGATTGCAGGTCTGTACATGATACCCTTTGTGTTGCAGTGTCTGACAGATTGAAAATAAAATTGGTATAAAATACGACAGGTTGTTAGGTAAGACACATATGCAACAGTTAGGTATCCGAAGTTTGAAACAATATGAAGTTGAAAGGACAGAATGGAGCCTTATATACGCGCCAGGAGGTGGACGTAGGTCACGTTGGGAGAGGTCAGGTCCCTATCATACATCCAGCCATTTCTAACTAGTCAGCGGAAGTACAAGTTCGATTGCAGGTTTCAGACAATGCAACAACAAGGGTTTCTTGGTACAGACCTGAAATCAACTTTGACAACTCTAAGTTAGTAGAACGGTGGATTTGAGAGGGACCTGACCTCCCAAAGTGACTTACGTCTCACCTCCTGGCGCTATATAAGGCTCCATTCTGTCCTTGCAACTTCATATTGTTTCAAACTTCGGAACAATGTTCTTCTCCAGACTGAGGTGACTGACACCTCAAAAACTTTAAGGGTGATGGACTGATTACTCGTCTTTCAGTCTCTACGCTTCTATTCAACTTTTCTGTTCTGTTGAAGTTGGGGACATACAGCATATGGGAATCTTAATTCAGGAACGTTTCGCCACAAGTGGCTTCTCAGTCCAATACAACAGGGAAGGCGTAAGGAGAGGGCAGGAGTATGAGGTATCAGTACACTCAGCTGCGAGTCGATTGTGTTTCAGTTCTCATCGACTCCAGGGCTGAGGGTCTGATTACCTCATACTCTCCTCTTTTTTTTTTCCTACGCCTTCCTCTTTGTATTGGACTGATGAAGCCCACTGTGTGGCGAAACGTTTCCTGATATAACCGATTCCCATATGCTGTATAATGTGTCTCAATCATTCAACTTAGTCCGGTTCTTTTAAACATTCATCACATTTTTCTGTACTCGACTGAAGAAGCATACTGTGTAGGCAGATCCACGTTTCCCCCCCCACAATAAAAGATACTAAACTGTTGCATATGTGTCTGACCTTACAAACCAACAGTAGTGTTTACGTTATTGCTCTTGTAGATAAAATTATTTTTAAAATACTTTCTTTATTTTTCATCAAAATATTTTTAAAAGTTTTTTTTTTCTCTTCCCTTCAAAGGAGATCCTTGACTTCAACCGTCCCTTATTCTCACCTTATCTACATTTCCCTTGGGTTGGGCAAAATGTTTTGTAGTGGGATGGGATGTAAAGGACAATGCTTGTGTGGGCAACAGGCCTGCTTGCAGTGTTCCTCCTTCTTATGTTCTCTTTCAGCAATCATGAAAATACAATAAACACATTGCAGATATATTTGAAAATTTGAAGTCCAGTGTATAGCGTTGCTAAGGTTGTCCCTCATCCATGCCAAGTATCACCGTTATATTGTGGCCCTTCCCCTCCGCAGCCTGCAGATATGTGATAATTTAGACACATATGCAACTCTGGTATCTTTTATGAGGAAAACGTTTCGCCAACAGTGGCTTCTCAGTCCATACAAAGAGATCTTGAGAACAGGAGGAGAATGAGGTAATCAGTCCCTCAACCTTGGGTTGATGTGGAACAGTCATTCATCTTGAATAGAATACGGCATAGTGACTGAGAAGGAGCTTTTAAACCGTTGGCAGGAGAGGTGCAGCAGTCATAGGTGGTGTAACATTTGTTCAATGTTGAAGTAGGTCGTACTCAATTCTCTCCTGTTCTTCAAGATTCTCCTTTTGTTTTTTAAAAATTGGACTGATGAAGCCACTGTGTGGCGGAAACGTTTCCTCTATAAAGATACCCAAGAGTTGCATATGTGTCTAATTTATCAACATGTCGGTTCTCTGAACCATTCATCTACAAGCCTGCAGATATATTTGAAAATTTGAAGTCCAGTGTATAGCGTTGCTAAGGTTGTCCCTCATCCATGCCTAGTATCACCGTTATATTGTGGCCCTTCCCCTCCGCAGCCAAAGAGACCGAACTGAAGGAGCAGGAGAAACTGCAGCTGGCCAGGATTCAGCAGAGCAATGCAGATTTGACTGCTGTCAAGACCAAGCTAGCCAAGTCACGAGCACGCAGAGACGAATTTCGTCAGGCCACAGACCAGCTAGTGTAAGATATTCCTGATAATGTTCATGTACGTCAGTTTTTGATTTAATTATCCATTCATCTTACATAAAATTATTTACTGCATAAATGGGGCAAACCTATAGTTCGCACGTTTCGTCATAGGACGAGGCATCCACCACATTGTGCAAGAAAGGTATAAATACCGACAGTTTAGTGAAAATTATTGACACATGAGCAACATTGGATATCTTTATTGTAGAGTGTCGCATCCAGTGGCTTTATCAATACAGATTCTAGGACATGTTGTTAGGTAAGACACATATGCAACAGTTAGGTATCTTTATTTCGAAACGTTTCGCTACACAGTGGCTTACTTATGTCGAGTACAGAAAGGTTGATATGAAGCTGAAGTACTTGAAGACACGATGTAATCCGTCCATCACCCTTAAAGTTTTTGTGAGGGTGGTCAGTCCCTCAGTCTGGAGAAGAGCATTGTTCCGTTGTCTGAATACAAATATGAAGGTGAAGTGACAGATTGGGGCCTTAATATAGTGCCAGGTGGTGAGACCGTAGGTTGCCTTTGGGAGGGCAGGTCCTTCTCAAAACCTGCCGTTCTCACTAGTAGAGGTTGTCGAATGTGGTCTGTACCAAGAATACCTTGTGTTGCAGTTCAGACAGGACATGAACATTAAATGTATGATATTACCCGACAGATTGTTAGGTAAGACAATATGCAATCAGTTAGGTATCTTATTTCGAAACCGTTTCGCTACACAGTAGGCTTCTTCAGTCGAGTACAGAATGTGATATGATAGATGCTGAAGATACTTGAAGACGATGTAATCGTCCCTTCAGCCTTAAAGTTTTGAGGTGGTCAGCCCTCAGTACTGGAGAAGGCATTGTTCCGTTGTCTGAAACAATATGAAGTTGAAGTGACAGAATGGGGCCTTTTATAGTGCCAGGAGGTGAGACGTTAGGTTGCTTTGGAGGGCAGGTCCTTCTCAAACCAGCCGTTTCATAGTAGAGGTTGTCGAGTGGTCTGTACCAAGATACCTCGTGTTGCAGTGTCTGGGACAGAATGAACATTAAAATGGTATGAAATACCGACAGATTGTTAGGTAAAGGACAATATGCAACAGTTAGGTATCTTTATTTCGAAAACGTTTCGCCTACCACAGTAGGTTCTACGACGGTACAGAAAAGGTTGATAGAAGCTGAAGATACTTGAAGACGATGTAATCAGTCCATACTTAAAGTTTTGAGGTGGTCAGTCACCTCAGTCTGGGAAAAGAAGAGCATTTTTCCGGTGTCTGAAACAATATGAAGTTTAAGTGACCAGCATGGGGCCTTTATTATAGTGCCAGGAAGGACTGGAGATACGTACGGTTGCTTTGCAGCGAGGGCAGGTCTTCTCGCAAACCAGCCGTTGCTCACTGTAGTGGTTGTCGACGTGGTCTGTAACAAGATACCCTTTGTGTTGCAGTGTCTGACAGAATGAACATTATAATGGTATGAAATACCGACGATTGTTAGGTAAGCACAATTGAACAGGTAGGTATCTTATTTCGGAAACGGTTTCGCCTACAACAGTAGCTTTTAGTCGAGTACATAAGGTGATAGAAGCAGAAGATACTTGAAGACGATTGTAATCAGTCCGCACCCCTCCTAAAGTTTTGACGGTGGCCTCAGTCCTCAGTCTGGAGAAGGAGATTGTTCCGTTGTCTGAAACAATATGAAGTTGATCAGTGACCAGCCACATGGCCGGTGGGCCTTGTATATTGTGCCAGGAGGTGAGACGTAGGTTGCTTTGGAGAGGCACAGAGGTCCTTCTCAAACCACAGCCGTTCTCTAGTAGAGGTTGTCGGAACGTGGTCCTGTACAAAGATACCCTTGTGTTGCAGTGTCTGACAGAATGAACATTAAATGGTATGAAATCCCGGACAGATTGTTAGGTTAAGACACATATGCAACGGTTAGGTATCTTTATTTCGAAACGTGTTCGCTACACAGTAGGCTTCTTCAGTCGGTACAGAAAGGTTGATTAGAAGCAGAAATAACTTGAAGACGATGTAATCAGTCCATCACCCTTTAAAGTTTTGAGTTGGTCCAGTTCCCTCGTCAGGAGAAGAGCATTGTTCCGTTGTCTGAAACAATATGAAGTTGAAGTGACTAGAATGGGGCCTTTCATGTAGTGCCAGGAGGTGAGAGCGTTGGTTGCTTTGGCGAGGCAGCGTCCTTCTCAAACCAGCGTTCTCACTAGTATAGGTTGTCGAAAGTGGTCTTGGTACCAGATTACCTTGTTTTGCAGTCGTCTGACAGAAATGAACATCTAAAATGGTATGAAATACAGACAGATTGTTAGGTAAGACACATATGCAACTGTTAGGTATCTTTATTTCGAAACGTTTCGCTACACAGTTGGCTTCTTCAGTCAGAGTACGAAAGGTTGATGAAGCAGAAGATCTTGAAGACGATGTAGATCAGTCCATAACCCTTACAAGTTTTGAGGTGGGTAGTCCCTCAGTCTGGAGAAGAGCATTGTTCGTTGACTGAACAATATGAAGTTGAAGTGACAGGGGGGGGTAAAATTTTGGGGGGCCTTTATATAGTGCCAGGAGGTCGGACGTAGGTTGCTTTGGGAGGGCGGTCCTTCTCTAACCAGGCCGTCTCACTAGTGAGGTCTGTCGAAGTGGTCTGTACAAGATACCTTGTGTTGCAGTGTCTGACATGAATCGAACATTAAATGGTATGAAATACCGACAGATTGTAAAGGTAAGACAACATATGCAACGTTGGTATCTTTATTTCGAAAAGTTTCGCCTACACAGTAGGCTTCTTTCAGTCGAGTACAGAAGGTCTTGATAGAAGCAGAAGATACTTGAAGAGAGTAATAAGACCATCACCCTTAAAGTTTTGAGGTGGTCAGTCCCTCAGTATGAGGAAGCGATTGTTCTCGTTGTCTGAAACAATATGAAAGTTGACGTGACAGAAATGGGGCCTTTATATAGATTGCCAGGAAGGTGAGAAGTAGGTTGCTTTGGAGGGCAGGTCCTTCTCGACCCCAGCCGTTCTCACTGTAGAGGTTGTCGAAGTGGTCTGTACAAGATACACTTGTGTTGCATGTTGACAGAATGTACATTAAAATGGTATGAAATACCGACAGATTGTTAGGTAAGACACATATGCAAAACAGTTAGGTATCTTTATTTCGAAACGGTTTAGGACTACCCAGTAGTGCTTCTTCAGTCGAGAGTAAGAAAGGTGATAGGAAGCTTAAGATACTTGAAGACGATGTAATCAGTCCCATTCACCCCTTAAGTTTTGAGGGTGGTCAGTCCTACAGTCTGGAGAAGAGAATTGTACCGTTGTCTGTGAAAAAAACACTATGAAGTTGAAAGTGACAGAATGGGGCTTTTTATAGTGCCAGGAGGTGAGACGTTGGTTTGCTCTTGGGAGGGCAGGTCCTTCTCAAACCCAGACGTTCTCACTAGTAGAGGTTGTCGAATTGGTCTGTACCAGATACCCTTGTGTTGCAGTGACTGACAGAAATGAACATTAAAAAAAATGGTATGAAATACTACAGATTGTTAGGTAAGACACATATGCAAACAGTTAGGTATCTTTATTTCGAAAACGTTTCGCCTACACAGTAGGTTCTTCAGTCGAGTACAGAAAGGTTGATAGAGCAGAAGATACTTGAAGGACGATGTAATCAGTCCATCACCCTTAAAGTTTTGAGGTGGTCAGTCCCTCGTCTGGAGAAGAGCATTGTTCCGTTGTCTGATAAACAATATGAAGTTGAAGTGTCAGAATGCGGGCCTTTATATAGTGCCAGGAGGTGAGACGTAGGTTGCTTTGGGAGGGCCAGGTCCTTCTCAAACCCAAGCGTTCTCACTAGTAGAGGTTGTTCGAAGTTGGGTCTTTACCAAGATCACCCTTGTGTTGCAGTGTCTACAGAATGAACATTAAAAATGGTATATTATGAACATACCGACAGATTGTTAGGTAAGGACACTATGCAACAGTTAGGTATCTTTATTTCCGAAACGTTTCGACTACACAGCTAGGCTTTCTTTCAGTCGAGTACAGAAAGTTTGTAGTAGCAGAAAGATACTTGAAGATCGCATGTAATCAGTCCATCACCCTTAAGTTTTGAGGTGGTCAGGCCCTCAGTCTGGAGAAGAGCATATTGTTCCGTTGTCTGAAACAATATGAAGTTGAAGTGACAGAATGGGGCCTTAATTTAGTGCCAGGAGTGTGACGACGTAGGTTGCTTTGGGAGGGCAGGTCCTCTCTCATACCCTGCCGTTCTCACTATTAGAGGTTGTCGAAGTGGTCTGTACCAAGATACCCTTGTGTTGCAGTGTCTGACAGAACTGGCAACTTATTAAAATGGTATGAATTACCGACAGCCTTGTTAGGTAAAGACATTATGCAAACAGTTAGGTATCTTTATTTCGAAACGTTTCGCCTTCACAGTAGGCCATCTTTCAGTCGCAGTACGAAAGGTTGATAGAGCAGAAGATACTTGAGGACGATGTAATCAGTCCATCACCCTTAAAGTTTTGAGGTGGTCAGTCCCTCAGTTGGAGAAGTGCATTGTCTTCTCGTTGTCTGAATCATTTATGAAGTTGAAGTGGACAGAATGGGGCCTTATATAGTGCCGGAGGTGAGACGTAGGTTGCTTTGGGAGGGCAGGTCCTTCTCACACCAGCCGTTTCACTAGTAGAGGTTGTCGAAGTGGTCTGTACCAAGTACCCTTGTGTTTGCAGTGTCTGACAGGATTGACATTTAAATGGTTGATATATACCGACAGATTGTTGGGTAAGACACATATGCAACTTAGGTATCTTTATTCGAAAACGTTTCGCCTACACAAGTAGGCTTCTTTCAGTCGAGTACAGAAAGGTTGATAGAAGCAGAAGATACTTGAAGACGATGAATCAGTCATCACCCTTAAATTTTTGAGTTGGTCCGTCCCTCCAGTCTGGAGAAGAGCATTGTTCCGTGTCTGAAACAATATGAGTTGAAGTGACAGAAAT